AGCTCCGACCAGGTCAGGTTTTCTTGATGTTACAACCAGCTGTTGCAGTTTTATCACATGTGGGGAGAACAGGGTGAATGTCAGAGAAGCTAGAGAGGCTATGTTTGGAAGCTGTGAGCGTGTAAGTACCGACAGCCACACGATAACAGTCCAACCAATCTTCCACGGTTTTGTGTACTCTTTGCTGAAGCCTGATCAGTGTCCCGCTAGGATGACCTCCTCTTTTCCAGTGTGCTGACGACTCCTCCTGCCTCTTCCCTTCTCTCACCATCTGGAGAGCATCCCGAGAGCACACCGACTTCTGCCACACAACATTATGTGCGCATGGTAGATTATGTTATGTAAAGCATTTAGCTAGCTGCTCTATACACAGCAACCACCGACTATTTGTGCACAAACGCACTGGTGGCTATTAAGCTAACTGCTCCTCTTTATCTAATCAGCTGTTTGATTCACTGTTTGTGTCACTTTTCCACTCAGACACAATCATCTGATCATTAAAAGTGTCTTACATGTGTCAGTGGGGGATACAGGAGGTCTTGAGCAGCATCAGAGATAAACGTTTCCCGAGTCTTCAAATAAGACTGCAAATGCAGAACTGATATTACAGAGAAATATTTTAGCTTCCTCAATATCAAGGTGAAAAACAATGTAATCTTACTGTTTCCTTTGGCTGATTAAGGTGAGACCGAGCAGAAAGCGGAAGCTGGGCGGTTTCATTTTCACACCTGAAGGTGAGCACTGCAGACGTACCGCTGGACAGACTCACAGACACGTGATCAGAAATCTGCAGGAGACAAGCAAACACTTTTATCGGTTATTAGAAAATGAAAACCCTAAAGAACAGCAAAGTGGCATAAAGAGTTAGCAAGTCCTCCTGTCTTTGTCGCCTGAAACGATCCAATCTAAAGCAAAGAAACCCTGCAGACAATAAAATATGAATCTCTACGTCCTGTCAGAGACAGTTAGTGTTGCTGGGATTTATGCATGAGTAGGAAATCTACACCGTAGCTACATCGTAACCGCAAACCCCACTGAAACCCTACAAAGTGAGCTGATGTGCATGAGAGTGGATTATATATCCTGAACCCTAAAGTATAACATTGACAACAAAACTCCCCCATCATATTTTTATGATTTTTTTCCAAGTCTCTTGTGGTTATAGTACCATAACATATGATTTAGCATATGTAATTCCAAAGGCAAAAACCACAGGGACCAAAAATCATTTAGATAGTTTGCTAAAAAAAAATGTAATATTCATATTTATTTTCAACTTAGTAATTTTTTAAAGGTTTTTCAGATGTAAAAGCATTCTTGCCTAACAAAATGAGGAGTGCTGCATAAAATGTTTTTATTATTTCATTGAAATTCAATAAAAAAAAATCAATCAGCTGCCTCCCCAGAAATATAAGTACACACTGTACTGCCAGTTCCTCCTGTGTGTCTCTGGCTACTTTTGCTCCGAATTTTTCAGTTTATTGATGAGAGAATAGCAACAACAACATCGAGAGGAGTTTAATTCGTAGACCCCACCTGTATTGCAATCTTTTCCCTGTGATATGGCTTCCAACTCCACTCCTTAGTTTTGTTTCCGTAAATATCGCACACGAATCCACCGTTCTGGTCCCACAGTGCTGTGACGGCCGAGCTGCATTAACAGTTACAAAAGATTTAAAACAAACAGGCGAAGCATGTGCAACAGAATTTTGTTATACGTGTATTTTTACATGTTACTTCATATTTTTCAGTAAGAAAAAAAAAATGAAAAGAATGGAAGCCACCTGGCATGCACTCACCTGAGAGGACGCGTGACGGCCCCGCGCCCAAATGCTGTAATAGTCGCGAGGATGGTGGGAAATTGGCTGTCAGTGAACACATTGGTATAGAAGCCTCCGCAGGGCAGGCCTGAGTGACTCTGGCACACTGCCATGCAACCAGATGGGTAACTGAGGGGCCACAATTACAGGTCATAAGGTCAGCAGCAGTGACACATTTTCCATATGCCCAAATCCGCCTTTAATTCTGGACACTCATTAAAATTGAAATCTTTATGAATAAACATGATGAGAAAAAGATGATACTATATGAATGAGGAGCCATCGTTGATCCTGTAGTGCAGTTTTTGCCGGGCAGGATCCTGCTGTTTCACTTCTGGTATCTGTGGCATCCCGTTGACTAAAGAGGAAGGATGGTCCTTTCTTCTCCTGCGTGTCACGTTAGCCTTCGTATCCCCATAGTGACGGAGGATAAGCTGTTCGTTCGGATCCAGCTCAGTTGTTGGCAGTTTTCTACGTTAAAAAAAATACGGTTAAGTGTAAACGTTTTTGGACAAATGTGACTTTTGTCGTTTTCGTGTGAGTGTTCTTGACTGGGTTAGATGTTGTGAAGGGGTTTTTTTGAACCATGGAAATAAGCCGTCATCTTTTGGTGTTGTTCTATTTGTTGATTTTGCTACTCCTAAAGTTTTTGCTCCGTCTCTGATAGGTTTGTTTTTTCCCCATCTTCAGATGGCCTTTGCTTTTACTGACCTTTCTTTGGACCTCATATTGAGAATTTAAATGAAAAACTATCAAATGCAATTGCATCATTTGAAATCAACTCCAGATCTTTTATCTGCCCAATTAGTCATGAGATAAAGAGGGAATCGACCTCATTTGACCATCAAACAGTTCCAAACAGTTTATGTGCAACCTTTGTCAAACCCTTTGAAATAAAACTAAAAGTCAGCACTTCAACCACATATTGACTGTTTGATTTCAGATCCCCTGTGTTGTGTACAGAGGCAAAATTACAAATAAATGTGTCACTGTCCAAAAGCCTATGGACCTTAACGTATATTAAACAATGCATGTGAAAGTACTGGATTATATTGCTTTAACCAGATAAGGATTTCAGTAACTGATGACCAAATGTAAAATAGCCTGAAATTCAATCAAAATGGATTCATCAGATCAGCCGACCAACAGGATCTGATCATTTGGAAATGCAAATGCTATTAATGCAGAAACAGACGCTGACAACTCACTCTGGATCTTTTGCTCCCTGCAGTCTCTCCACCACCCACTGATACAAACTGATCCTGTTCAGCACATCACTGGAGGCCTGATTAGGCTGAGCGATCAAACCTGCACACAAAACACACGACACAGCGGAGGCAGTGACAGAGTCATCTACGCAGTGCTGCAGCTGCATGTCATACCTGCATGTTTACACTTACTGGATGATGGAGGGAGTGGCTGCTGTGGAGCTGCGAGCTGTTTAAGAGCAAGAATGTGAAACTTAGTCTTAGAAGGATTATAATACAATTTCCAAGGAATTTCACGTAAATGCACTCCAAACTCAGAGTGCAATGCTCAGAGAAACTGCAAAAAGAAAACAAACAAACAAACAAACAAACAAACAAAAAACAAGAGCTACATCTCAGTTTCTACATGCCTCACAAAAGAAGACTGAACAAGTATGGGCTGTTGGAAAGGTCCAATTTGGGGGGGGGATTAGATGGATACCTTCCTGGTATGTTATCTTCCCTTGTAGTGTTTTTATGGCCACAGAAATGTGCCTGAAATTATTTCTTTTACCTCTACTGCATCTTGGCTCGCTCTTTTTCACATGTGGGTTTAGTTTGGCTCGCGACTTTCTCCCTGTGAAACCAGCACTTCTTGCTGCGCACGGGTTCTCCTCTGCCGTTTCCTCCCGGCCGCTGGCTGACACCTGGCGGGGAGGTTGCTGCAGCTTCGGGGAGCCCACAGACTTCGGTAGCTTGTCAGTCAGTTTGGGACTTGAACGCAGCGCCCCTGCAGTCAGATCGTGCCAGGAGCAGTTCAGAATATTTACAACCCCGTGAGGAAGACGCCTCTCATCAGCCCACCTATGCTGCCAAAGCAGGCGAGCCAATTCATTTAATAACTGAGGCGCTGCTTGCTTGTATGCCTCGATCGAACCGTTCAGGGTTAAAGCAGACGATGTGCCAGGTTTATCGCCTTCTTCCTCCCTTCCCTCGTTCTCCTCCAGATTACTATGAGAAAATAAGACAGGTTATTTACAGTAAACCACGTTTCCTTCTCCTCCTCCTTTTGCACATTCTGACAGAGATGCTCCCACAGCAGATCATCTCTGTCAGAATGTGCAAGCCTCTAATTACCTTCGTATCCTGCCCTCGAATTGTGCTCCTCCATTTATCACACTCAAATGTAAAATGTTTCCTCGCTCTCCTTTAACTCGATTTCGTCCTGCTGGCTGCAGAGAGGCAAGTGGACGGTAAAAGTTGTGCTCTTTCTTTTAAACTACACAGTCAGCAAAACGCATCCTCACCTCACCTGATCAAAGAAATAAAAGGGCCCCCGTCTGCCTTCTGTCCCACCAGAAGAACTCATTTCCCGTTACAAAGGGAGAAATCCCCCACACTGTATCTCTTTGCAGCAAAGCAAAAGTAACCTAGCTGAGAAAAAGTGCTTCAAGATCAACATTTCACTCCAGCAAATACCCCCCTCTCCGTTCATGTTCTCGCCTTGTTGCTTGGATACGCACTTCTCGCGTTACGCACGTTAATGATCGACTCTGGGCATCAAATTGAATCTGTGACAGTGCAAACAACAATACGTTACTCTCAATAACAGATAAGGTGTCGAGCGTTTGGCAATGTGGACACACAAAGAGAAAGAAAGGGCGCGCAGGTTGATACTGAGGAGCTGCAGCAGTCAGGTGTGCGCTGGGCTGCCAGGTAACCTGAAACTCAGCCGCTGGACGATCGGAGAAAGTGATGAGTCCAGCACAGTGCAGCTTTTAAAGGCCACACACCGGGACAGGACTGTCACATACATCTGAGCATCACAGGAACTGTGAGTCCAAACAATGTAACTCTAAAAATCTGATGACGATTGAAACTTTTTTCTTTTTTTTCTTTTTTTTTTTTGCTGCTTGGCGCACAGGAGGATCGTCTTCTTCTGTTCTGGTTAAGTTGTTGCATAGAGATCGTCTAATAGCTCGTTATTGGCTGAAGCTCCCTCCAGCACACTTTTCTGCTTTGACCACTGGAGGCTCCCAGCAGCTTATGCGTCACTTCGTCTCTTAGCCGCTGATCATGGCGGAGCTACAGTTCCAGGCTGAAGTGGAGCCTCAACTTCTCAATGGGGATGACTTGAACGAGGAAAGAGAAGAAGCGGACGCCTCGGAATCGGTAAAGAAAAAAAGAAGAAAGAAGAAGAGGAGCAGAACCACAGCGCCAGGTAAGGAGCGCATTTTGCGGTTAGAGGATCCTTTTAAAGAAAATAGCGCAAAAAAAAAAAATATTCCCCTTACTGCTCGGTGTTGTGCAGAGCATTAAGTGTACTGGACATGAGACTTTTTCAACCTGTCAGAGGGTATTCCTGTCCAGATGTCCCAACTCTCAGCGGCTGCTGCTGAAGCTGAGGGCGCTCATCTGGAAACGGGACAGACTCCGAAAATGAAATGTAACGTCAAAAATGGATTGGAAGCTGTCACTTGAAGATATGAGGGGAATAAATGTAACTTGCCCAGATTAAATATGTTTGATCCTATAATTCTCCACATAATCTGCGTGAAATTATGTAATAGACCCACAGTTGTAGTGCAATACGATGACATGTTGCCAGTTGCAGCATTACTGCTTCATCAGCAGTAAAATCCCAAAAGGTTAAGTTGCTGAAGCTGCCCTAAGTCAAGCGTGGTCCTCACAGCTCTGTCTATGAAGGGCTAAATGTCATAATGCTGCAAGCTGCATATGCCCTTGAGGATACTGACTTCTCAAGGCAAGAAATTATTCACACATCCTGCCAAGTTCAGATCATGGTAGATGCACTTTCTTGAATGGACTCTGAACCACAGATAATTTACTCCCTCTGTGTATGTGTGTGTGCGTGCATGCACGTGCATGTTCACCTGCACATGCATGCACGGCATTGTGTGACTTTGCAGCAGGGACAAGCGAGGCTGAGGGGGATAGAGACGCCGGAGGTGTTGGTGATGTGACAAAACAGTTGGAACAGCAAACGCTGGAGGACAAAGAAAGGGCCGAGGATGGAGAAGAAGGTATCTTCTTATTACAGCCGCCCACTATCAGCATCATTGTCTGCAGCGGTCATGCTGCTGGACTTCAAGTCCCAGAAAGTGCACTGTGAAATTCAGCTGATCATATCTGCAATGTGATATTTGATTTTCAGTAGCACTCCGGGAATTGTGCCCAAACGCCTGTCGATATTTCTCACTTTGCAAACTGTATTGAAACTAATGATGCTTTCAACAGATGGGGACGAGGGAGAGAACTCAGCTGGAAAAAAGAAGAGGAAGAAGAAGAAGAAGAAAGGATGTAAGCTATTTTTTTTCCCGTAGCGCACCAAAATGCACCAAGAATTTAAATTCTTCACTCAGCAAGAGGATTTTTCTTATTGTTTGTTCATTTAAAAAGCAAACACACGCACACTTAAGATATTAAGTAGATATGTAGCATTTGTTGATAGCATTGAAAGATCGTTCAGTAAAATCTTTGCGGTTGTGTATGAGCATCGGCGTGTATTCGAAAACAGACGTCACTGCGTTGAAAGCGCTTTGGAACACCAGATGATTGCAAACAGAGCACAACAGCAGTTTGTCTTTTTTAAATCCATGTCATTAGTCGTCAGTATTGCAACATGCAGTCGGACAAAACTGCATGTTGTTCAGACAGGACGATATGAATGACTTCCCCAGCACTGTAATTCTCTTTCTGTACCAGAATGCCAGGCATTGTTCTCTTAAAGTCAAAATATCAATGTCATGAGCACAAGGGCTCATAACTTGTTAACGTGTTTTATTTCCCCTCTCCTGCTGCTTTTTCCTCTGCTCCGCCTTTTCTGTATCTGGGCCACAGTGAAGGGACAGACTGACCCTCCCTCAGTCCCTATTTGTGAGCTGTATCCCAACGGAGACTTTCCAAAGGGAGAGGAGTGTGAATATCCCCCATCAAAAGACGGGTGTGTGTGACCTCTACGTTGTTCCTTCCGTCTTCCGTTGTGTGGCATTCCTACATTTAACTTAGGTCCCACTTTCCGCCTATCCATACAGGCTATAATATACTAACTGATCGTGTTTCCAGTAAAGATGTAAATCCATTCTCTTTTTTTTTAGTATGTTTTGCTGCAGTTAAAAATATCAGCACTGTTTTCACCTGTGCAGTGTTTTTTTCAGGGAGCATGTGTCATAGCCTCATTACAAACATTTGTATAATGAGAAAATAATGAGTGCCTCCTCTCCGTGGTGCTCCCCTGCACCCACCCCCAGGCGCAGCGCAGCGTGGCGGACCACCAGCGAGGAGAAGCGGGCCCTGGACAGGGCTAACGAGGAAATGTGGAATGATTTCAGGCAGGCGGCCGAGGCACACCGGCAGGTCCGTGCGTATGTCATGAGCTGGATCAAACCAGGGATGACCATGATAGAGATCTGGTGAGAAACACGCTGATTTGTCTTTGAGAGTTATTGATATGGTCTGAGAAGATGAGAATGTGATTAAGACCTTGAAAGAAAGGGAGGATCTGCTCCCACCTTTTCTCCTCTGAATGTTTTACCTGGCTTCTCTCTAACATCTGCTGCCTCTTTGTGTTTCTTTCTGCTTCTGTCAGTGAGAAGCTGGAAGACTGCTCCAGGCGGCTCATCAAAGAAGATGGGTTAAAGGCGGGCCTGGCTTTCCCCACAGGCTGCTCCATCAACCACTGCGCAGCCCACTACACCCCAAACGCCGGAGACCCGACTGTGCTGCGCTACGACGACGTCTGCAAAATTGACTTTGGAACGCACATCAACGGTGAGAGCTCACTAATAACTTTTTAAGTGCTTTTTCAAGTTACGGTCTCCCATTCCCCATTTGGCACGGTGGAGTGATGATTGCCTTATGATTCTGGCCGCCTGGAATAAACTGTTCTCATAAGTTAATTAACGTCCTCTTTTTCTGAATGAATACATGCTGAATGTTTCTGCAAAAAAAAAAAGTGTAAAAAAATGAAAATAATTAGCCGCTGCCGGCACTAACCAAACTGTTTGGTATTTTCAGGTCGAATAATAGACTGTGCCTTCACCGTCACTTTCAATCCAAAGTACGACCGACTGCTGGAGGCTGTGAGAGACGCAACCAACACAGGCATCAGGGTAATAGGGCCCGTCCTCCCATGCACCGTGCTTACACAAAGACTTATGAAAAAAAACGAGAATCATCAAACCAGATCACAGTTTAGGTTATAATTCATATCTAGTCTGAAATGCAACTGTGATAACGGGTGACGATAACTCTGAAATAACGGCACAAATCATAACGTACAGTGGCGTGTAATAATTCAGGGTGACATAAAATGTGCACGCTGTTGAATTCCTGCCAGCTGCAGGGGACACACGGTTAAAATCTGATGTAATCTTATAGTGAGAAAGCATAAAAGCAATCAAGTGTAAAATAGAAATGCATGGATATACAGCAACTGAACAGCGCATAACGCAAAAAAAACAATAATTTATATTTTTTTATTAAACATGTGGCTGGAAAAAGATGATGTCTCACTTAAATGTGACTACTTTGGTACCTGATGTTACCTGATGATGCTCAGACTGGATATATTAAAGGCTGTCAGTATACGATTCACTTATTCAGTTAGTTCCCCCTCAAAAATCAGAAAAAAAAGAAGTGGGATGTGATTCTTACTCTCCAGACCTTCAGTGTGCGATGGATGGCGTGTTATTTACTGACGTGTGTGTGCAAACTCTGATCTGTCCCAGTTCGCCGGAATTGATGTGCGCCTGTGCGATGTTGGCGAGACCATTCAGGAGGTGATGGAGTCTTATGAAGTGGAGATAGATGGGAAAACATATCAAGGTAAAATAAAAATGATGCCATGCTTCATCCTTTTTAATCACGAACAAGGCTTAGAGCTGCTTCCTGTTTATGAAACCCTCTGTGTGCCGCTCTCTTGACAGTGAAGCCGGTAAGGAATCTCAACGGCCACTCTATTGGACAATACAGGATACACTCAGGGAAGACGGTCCCTATCGTAAAAGGTGGAGAAGCCACAAGGATGGAGGTTTGTACACCATTTACCACAGATTACACGTGGATTAGACTGTGGGGCCCAAATTAAAAAACTGCAGACCTCTTTTTTTTTTTTTTACTAAAGCGTTTGAAATTAAACCTTTTCCACCTGACTGACCTTGCGTGAATGCAAATGGACCCTTTTTAATTCTTAAGTGCAACTGGACGAACATGTGGCTGGTTAGGGTTACGACGGGGTCTGGAGAAATGTTCCAATTCGCCGCTTTAACAGCTTCTCGGTCACCCTCCTAAGCACCCTAATTACACTTTTTAATGGAATTAGCGGCCCCATCGAGTTGCAACACGTGTTAGCACACCAGCCACTCGTTTCAATCGTGGGCATCAAGAGTTCATTAATGGGGCCAAGGAGAAAGACGGCTTCGCATTATGCAGGGAACTAAAGTGAGCCTGTGCCTGGCTGCACAGCTGTGGTGCATGGCTGGGGTTTTATCTTGGACAGAAGTGGGCATTTTAATTGGGAAGTTGCTGCGTCAAGCCTTTCACCTGATGGTTCCAGGAGAGTTGAGGAGGGGTTGATGCTGATGTGGCAGCTTTGTGTATTGTATTTTTAGCTAAAGTGTGTTGGTGTAAAAGGGCAATTACCCTCTTTGTGATCAGAGAGTGGCAGCTGGGTGTGCCACGGGGACTGCTAGCACTTTGACTGATTATCAGTGCAGCGAGAAAGGGCGTCTCAGTGCTATCAGCTCGTACCACGGGGGACTCCAACAGCAGTCACGTGCTGATAGAGAAGCAAAGTCCAGTGAGATCCGACCAATCAACAGCTGAAAAGAGCACTACCGCCCTTTAATAGACTCCACACGAATATGTCATCGGCTGACAACTTGAGGTTTTTGTTAAATTTGCTCTCAGCCTCCCCTCCTCCCTCTAAAGTGCTTTTGTCCTATGAGTGCTCAATGACACCTGCCCTGCTCTAACAGTCTTTCATTTCTGCACTTTAAAGTCCTCGTCTCTTTTTGCTTCTTTTGCTGCTTCTCAGGAAGGTGAAGCTTATGCCATCGAGACATTTGGCAGCACTGGAAGAGGCGCTGTCCACGATGACATGGAGTGCTCGCATTACATGAAAAACTTCAACGTGGGACACGTGCCAATAAGGTTTCTGTTTTCACCTCATCGCCTCGTGCTTTATGTTTTTATACGGTGGCTTTCTTCGATCTCCAGTTTGTCACGTTTCTCTCACCTCTCTTTCCGTGTCGCCACCAACACCGCAGACTTCCGAGGGCTAAACATCTGCTGAACGTGATCAATGAGAATTTTGGCACTCTGGCATTCTGCCGCCGCTGGCTGGACCGCCTGGGAGAGAGCAAGTACCTCATGGCGTTGAAGAATCTGTGCGACCTTGGCATCATAGACCCGTACCCACCTCTCTGCGACATCAAGGGCAGCTACACCGCCCAGTATGAGCACACCATCCTACTCAGGCCCACATGCAAAGAGGTGGTGAGCCGGGGCGACGACTACTAAGCATGCGCCAAAATCCACAACGAACCAGGAGACGACAGACTTCTTCAGACTGACAGCAAATATGCAATATTTCTCTGACCTAAATTTCCAGTGCTTGAATACCTTTAGATAATTGTTTTAGCAAAAAAAAAAAAAAAAGACTCTCATGAAGTTAGCTGAGATAGTTTTGTTTCATTTCTTTCTCTCTCTCCAAAGGATCAAGCCAATAGTAAAAAGGGCATATCTTTAACTGATTCAGCGTTGTCATTTTAGCTTTTTTTTGATGTGCTGCTTTTAGGTAATATGCAAAAGAGATTTATGCAAAAGAATCATGCAAAAAAAAGGAGGTTTAGGTGCTCGCACCTTGCCTGAACATGCTGTGCTTTATTGCCTTGTTAAGCTCATGTGAGGAAAACAGAACCGCTATCAAATATTTATACTTCTACATTTCTTTGCTTTATTTTAATTTGAGGCAGTTTTATAAGAAATAAATTGTTATAAATCTTGCATCCAATGCTGCATTCAAGTTCATGGAGCTCTCTGGCAGCTCTAGAGACATCACCGATACACAGCAGTTTTACAGTTTATTAGGAAGACTACTCCAATACCTAATGCAGGCTGTGCTGCAGTGCTGAAACCTGAGGAAAAACCTCCGTCTTAAGAAAGAGTTTGACCAAAAATAAACATTACAACAGTGAATGTTTATTGTTTCCACTTATATTGCTCCCTCTTTTCTTAGCTAGTAAGCAAAAATGTCAAATGATGTCAAACTTTAACCACGTACATGTGTATTTCTCTCTTTTAACCAACGGAGGGCGGTACTCAAACATGGGTTAAATATCAGTCAGCCACCTCTGCTGGTGAAGATGATGCAGTAAGGCACATCAGGCTGTTTATTCATAGCCTGGTGCTTCTGCATAATGTGACCGAGGAATGAAACCGATTTTTCCCAGAAGCATTAAGAATGAGCACACTGATGTTTAGTTTATGCAGTTTAGATGAAACAGAACGGACAGGACACAGAAACAGCGTTGCAAGCATCACGATGACGACAGAGCACATTCATTCACCCTAAAAAATAAAAAAAAATCACCACCTTGTCCTCTAAAAGAAAATTTCCAGCCCATTTCTCTTATTTTGGCAAAGTCTTTCAGACAAGGGCATGGGTGGTGATGCTATGGCTGAGGAATGCATCATGTCCCCTCATACAGTTTGTCCTTTCTCCTTGGAGACAGCAGACCAGGCCTATTCTTAACCGGGGGCTGGCTCTAAAGTGGCTTGTGGACTCCGGATCTGATACACTGTGATGTCCATTAATACCCCGGCTTTTAATACATATTTATTTTGAGGCAGCAGGAGTCACAGGCCAAAAAGAGAAGCATATGTTCAGAGAGCATTTGCAACACCCAAACACGCACCGCTTCCTGCAGGGCTGACTTAAGGGAGGTCTTGTCAAGCGAATCCTCCTCATGTGGAAGCAGGTCTTCCAAAGAAGGTGAAATCCTTTCGTAGCGAGCTGGCTATAAGAGCAAACAAATCCCAAGTGTTTTAGCCTGTTGTATGCAGAGAGGGTTTTGTTCTCATCAGTCAGCAGGGGGGCGAGTGGCCCAGAGTAAAGTGGAGCTGCTCAGATTTAAGCCGTCTGATTCCTTTAATGTTTTTTCATCCTCTCCCTTCATCCCGGAGTTACTTGTTCTGACTTGCACAGTCCCAGACTCACCACCAAGGACATCTAGCATATGTACTCTTCCACACACGCTGCCTGATGTTTACTCGTTCATGATTTATCGGCAATATCGGTGTGACGACACGGATCATTCAGTCTGTGCCTTTGCGAAATTTCAAAGTAAACAGTCTTCCATAAAGTGGATACAGCAGGACGCGACTGTTTTTTGGCTCGTGAGCTCCAACAGCGAGGAAATCGAGCCAGGAAATGAAGTATAATTGAGTATTTAATATGCACTTCTTGCTGCTTTATAAATAATCTTGAAAGTTTTATGAGCTGAGGCACAGCATAACAGGAATACAATTCAGACAGCTTTGTGCGGATGAAGGTTTTTACGGTCTGCTTTGTTCTCTTTGATCCTACAGTGACTGTAGTCTGGAAGGTATCTGCTCTCACATGCTTATTTTTATCACAGGTTCACAACCTCAGTCCTATAGCTTTTTCCCCCTTTTGTTCTGAGACCATGGACCGTGGAAAAAAAAAGAAAAGAAATAGGCAGCGGTTTCACTTTCATGTCCAAGTGAGGCCTAATTCAGACAGTCCTGCTGCCAGCTGCGTCCACTGCACTTCTCGGCGGTTCCCTACCAGTGGCCGCAGTGTTTTCTGAGGATGTGGAGGAGTTTGCGTCCGAGGCTTGCCTTCCAAGGTTTAACAAAGCTCTTGGTGTTAACAATAAGTCGGCCTTTCTTCCAGTCTTCATGACCAGCCACCACATACTCAGATCCTATATTGGAGAAGGGGAAAAAAAGCAATAATGTATTTCAGATCTGCTGAGAATGCCACTACAGCAGGGTGAAGAAAAAAGAGAAAAAAAATGACTATGGAAATGTACATCATTTAGCTATAACAAGTTAATTACCGCGCTTCCCTGGCTAGCTTAGCAGAAGCGATTATTGTGGAGTGTTAGACGTGAAATAGTCTCATAACAGAGAAGTGTGTCTAATCTTTTAGTTGTAAATGTCCAATTTAAATGAGTAATGCTTGGATGTTGGCACTCACTCAAAGCCTCTGTGAGAGGCGACAGGGATCTTTCACTCAAGAGTCGACTAATTATACACTTCTGCATCGTGAGCAATAAAGTTTCTCATTGGAGCCGGCTGCAGCTGACCTGGGTTGAGGATGGGGCAGGTACAGCCGTGGGTGGTCCAGGACTCTGGGTAAAGGGTAACACTTCCCCTCTGGATCTTCATCTGAGGGTTCTGATACAACACCTTCTTGACCTTGACCTTCACCTCTGCGTGAGAGCCTTTGTCGTGGGCTGACATCACCTTTGCCACCAGTACTGCCAAGGCAAGAAAACAACCAAAAGAAGTAAACAAATAATAACCATGTGAGAAACATTCTAATCGTTTAGAATATAAGTGTTGACTAATAGTAGTACTAATAAGACTCTAATTAGAATTTTCTAATGTGTTTTTTGGCTCTGAAGGAACATTTCCTCACATTTATGAAAATATGTTCTTTTTAAGGCATGTAATTTAAGATATGGGGTGGTACCTGTGGTCAGTCAGATGTGACATAAGCATGAAATGTTTAACCTGCTAGCTCCGTAGACAAAGTCCACACGATGTCCAATTTTACTGATTTGCATGGTGTCTTGCATCAAAGGTGAAGGTAATTATCTAGTGAATTCCCCCCTGAGCCATCGGGTGTCATATGTCCTGCCTTCTGCACATTCTTTCCAGGTAGCAGCCTCACCTAACCCAAACTGATCACTTCAAGTCAGGAGAGCACGTCTGAAGCGGACTTTGTCCTGTTGTGTGCTCCCTGTGAGACAGGACCTGATTATCTTGACACTGTCCACAGGTCATGTGCAAAAATGATTTAAAATATGAGACCCTAACCCTATCCTGGCCTCAAGACATCAAGCATTTCATTATAAATCATTCAGATTGTTAAGATTGACTCTCACAGGTTTACAATAAATGTAAACATTTTTTTTACCATAGTCAAACTCTGCAGCACAGAAGAGTTTAGGGTTGCCAAGGGTTACCTCTATGCATTCACATTTCTCTGGAAAATGAAAGTCAAACAGATAACAAGATTAATACACATAATTTCACCGTGAAGTATAGATTGTTAGATGAAAGCAGCCTTATTTGCATCTATGTGGGCCGATGAGTGTTTGGCGTGATGTGACCTGTGACTCACCGGAGTGGTGCAGTGCAGAGAAAAGCTCCTCTACCCTAAAGAGTGCCGTCTCACTATATTTGCTGCTGTGTCCCATGTGGCCACTGGCTGTATAGAAGACCTCCACATCTGAGCTGTGCCGCAGAGGTAAAACCAGTCAGAGCCAGTTAATAACCCAGTATGCTCTCAAACTCCCCAGCATAAATCACCTGATTTATTTCCATTAATACATATGGTTGAGTCTTGGCTCTTACCCAGAAATGCAGTCACCAGTGTAGGGGTCACAGTCCCCCGTGCAGTCACACGGACGGCAGCCGTATTCATTAAGCCCCCAGTATCCCGTCATGCAGCTGTCACAGTAGGAGCCTCCGACACCGGGCTTACAAGTGCACTCCCCGGTGTTAGGGTTGCAGAGAGTGCTGCCACCTGAGTGGACTGAGCCGACAGGGTGGCAAGAACAGGCTGTGCAGGAGAGAGTGACAGAACAAGAGAACTGCGTGTTAACATCTCTGTAGCAAACACTTCTGAACTTCCACATCAGCTGTATTTTATCATTGCACTCGTTACAAGCGACAAGTCGGAAGTATGTTATGTAGTCAGTGTGCTTTGAGCAGATGCAGCAAAAACAAACAGTGAAGGACTCCCTCGGCTCGCTGTCTGAAGGCTCGTTGACATGACAGATTGATTTTTTTTTTTCATTTCTAGTTTGTGTAAGAAAGAATGTTGCAGAATGCTTGGAAGGATGGAAGGGCAACAATGGGGAAAAACGTGGAGACATTCCTCCACTGTTTGCAATTACAGCCACACTCTGAAACCTCGAATGCAACTTAAGCAAGAATTACAGAGACTCCTGTTAAGGAGCGGGCTAAAAGTCTGCTTAGTGTCTCATCAGTGACTTAGGAAGGTGCTGGAGCAAAATCCCCTTATCAAGGAGATCAATGTGCTTTAATCCAGAGGGTAAAAAAGAAAAATCAAAACCCTCCAAATAGCAAATTCTGCAACTCTTAGTTGGACTTTTCAGCTGGCGTTGCTCCAAATAGAAAAGTTTTGGTTTAAGGCCAAAAAACAAAGACACACTGTGGGGTCTTACCTTTGCAGGAGTCAGGTGCCATTTTTGGTCGGCTGGGATCTCTGTAAAAGCCCTTCTTACAGCTCTGGCAGTGACGGCCCTCCGTGTTGTGGCGGCAGTCGTCGCACACCCCGCCACGCCGTCGCCCCGTTGCGAGCCACAGCCCTCGACTGAAGTGACAGCTCCTGGCGTGGCTGTTACACTTGCACTCTTTGTTCAGACGAGCGTGGGAAAAGAAAAGAAACATTCAAGTGTGACGCTTTAATCAGCTCACCTCTCAACTTTGAACCCCAGTGACACTCTTTAAGCGGTGCATCAGCATCTAAAAGGTGTGCGTGTGATTTATGACGCTAAATTAATTTTCCCGATAAGCCAACGAGCCGCGTGTCCTACGATGCATCTCACTCTCTCGCCCCATCACTCACTCTGACACTCGTGCGCCGTCCCCGTGATGCCGTTGGCGGCCTGCCAGGGTTGATCGTTGTAGAGAGGTGCGCAGCGCTCGCAGTGCTCGCCGGCCGTGTTATGTCTGCAGGCACACTTGCCGTGGACCTGCCGGACAAACACACCAGACAGTGAGAA